GGAAGATGAGACTGTCAGGCATGTCCTGTGCGAGTGCCCGGAGTTATCGTCAATAAGAGAGTGTGTGTTCGGCGAGTCTTGGCCTACACCTGCCGATATAAAGGAGATGTCTCCCAGCGACCTGTCCACCTTCCTGGAAAGGACAGGATGGACGACGACCTAGGAGGACAACTCCTCGGGAGGATGTACAATGGGTCACATGTGGCCTAAGTGCGTGGGCTTACACTCACCCTCCCTACTCTACAGATACAGAAACGTATTCGTAAAGAGGACACTAAATGGGAAACTTATGTAAACCGAAAACCCAATCACATGGGACAGTATTGAACCAGGAATTCAACCACATCAATCGACTAAGAAAGTAATCATCAATAGTCTAGTAGACGAAAACCAAGCCACCAAACGCGGACTGCTATTCCAAGAATTGCATTTTCCCGATACCCTGCGAGTGCGAAGAGTCCTACATCGGTAAAACCAAGAGACCATTGAAAGTTCACATTACCGAGTACAAAAAACACACACAACGAGAAGAAACCAGCAAATCAGAAATAGCAGAACATGTTTGGACTCATCAACATGAAAGCAAGTGGTCTCGAGCTGAAATCATCCAGTGGTTTAGGAGAAAATTCAAAGAAACCGCATATATGTTGTCCAACAACGCATTTAGCCAAGCTAGCGTAGAGATACGCAACATGTGGAAACCTCTAATCAAGCGGAACACGACCAATTCCAGCCAAACGGTCAGCTCCCGCTAAAACCGACGAAGCGGAGAGAGGGAAGAAGGGATAAGTGAGAGCTTTGGAATGACCTATAAATAGTCAGATCTCGGAGGAATAAGTCCTCTTAGACATTTCGAAGGCTTTCGACCGAGTATAGTACGAAGGCTTTCTACACAAACTAGTCGTGTTCGACCAGGGCCTGATTCGGTGGATTGGGTCTTTCCTGAAAGACAGAACATTTCAGGTTGGAGTAGAGGGTTCCCTGTCTGACAAGAGAGATCCTCGCTGGAGTACCACAGGGAGCTGTGCTCTCTCCCACGTTATACTCGCTCTTCACCAGCGACCTCCCAAGGTCCAAGCATGTAAAGGTGTCTCTCTACGCCGATGATACGTCTCTTCTCTCATCTTCCATGGGTCGGGAGCTCGGGATCGTCTACATGTAACGCGCATTGGAGAGCTGGTACGTCGAGTGGAAGATCCGAGTGAACTCGGATCGCGATGGGAAGAACGATATCTTCTCCGGCTAGGAAAGTGAGGGTCTCTGGAAGGGGTATCAACTGGCAGCGCGGGTAATGTACCTCGGTCTTCAAAAACGTCAAAACTAGGATCGGGGGTCGGATCAGAAGTCTGTGCCCTCTGATCAATAGAGGATCCTAAATTAATCTGAAGAACAAAATAGCCATCTATAATATGATGTTCAAGCCTGTCATCATGTATGCTTCAGGCGTCTGGAGACAAGCGGCTCCGTCTAATATCTCCATTCTGGAGAGATTACAAAACAAGCTAATACGGATGATTGTGAATGCTCCGTGGTTCATGCGGAACTAAGCCATCCGCAGAGATTTTCAGCTGCCTTCCATTCAGCAGTCCACTCAGTCGAGGAATCGGCGAGTTTTTGATTGCGCAGAAACTCACGAAAATCCGTATTCTAAAAACACTTTATTGTGTGATTTTCACTAGATCGTTTTACAAAAACGCAACACGTGTTTCGCCATACAATGGCTTCCTCGGGCGTGTCTTAATAACTAATTCTACAAATTGAATACTATATATACCTTATTCTATCTGAAGTACCTGAACTTCAAGTACCTGATTTCTCACCTAAGTTTGTAATGAATTCAATTACCTGAGCTTATGTTTCATTTTCCACATTTGAAAAAATATTCAGTAACGGAGAGTTATTCAATTTTAATTGATCATTCAGTAAATTATCCGAATTCCTGCATCTATTNCAATGTTAGGAATCACACGTTAAAAGGTAAGACCTCGTTAATCCTTAGCTCGCACAAGTTTCGACTTCTGAGGGTTGTCGTTCGTAGGGGTGCGACAGCTGGTAAACGGAAAAACAGATTTTTTTTTAATGAAAGTCCAAACTGATGAAATGCACGACGAAACAATATCAACCACTTTCAAACAGTGTGTTCATTAACACTATCATTGCCAAATGTCTAGTAAAATTTCGGGCTGTTTTGGCCGCGCTTTGGTTCATTTCGAATTCGTAAAGAAAAATTGGTCAAAAAACGCTTCACCTACCTAATTTCACATGATGAAACTCACCTACAGTATTAAAAATTTTTCTTGCAACAGTTCTCGAAACCATGTTGTTATTTATCATCCAGTCACAGATGGGACTAAAAGTAAGTGAACAAATCAACATCGCCACATATGGTGCAGCAGAAAACAAACTGTTCTGTAAAAGAAAAAAACGAATGAATATGTTAGCTCCGATTGGAGTACGACGGGGGACTATTTATATTTCGGGAACTGGCAACACTGATGTCAACGGGTAAAACGTGGCAACACCATAATAAAGTTTGACATCTTAGCAAAAACGTATTCACAACGTTTTGATGTACAGCTGCTGGACTGAGTCATGGCCGGTGAGAAGCCCCTCCCTCAAGATGTGCAGTAGATTTGTAGAAATATGTTACCAGTCTGTTAGATTATTCGAGCCGTAAATATCCAAATTCAGGACTGTATACAGTTAGTGATGGAGTTTAAAAGTAGACTGCATAAACATATTTTAAATAGTCAAACTCGTGAAGACACGGTACGATTTCTCCCACCCGCCACGACTCAGTTCGGTAGCTGTACAAGTGCTATTTGTTTTTTTTACAGTGAGTTTGTAAAATCAATTTGCCTTTGACGTTGGATTAGTTTTCACAACTTTCGACGTGGATTATCCCAACAAGAATATATAGATGAACCTAGTTCTTTGTATAGCGATAAAGTATTATCAAAAACCACAGTATATCGCTGGTATAGTGAATTCAATCGTGGTCGTAGTTCGGTCGCCGACGAATTCCGTGAAAGTCGTCCAAAATCGGTTGTTGAGCCACAAAACATCCATGTACTGCGTGAACTGGTAGTACAAGGTCGTCATGTGACATATTGTGAGGGTGTAATAATTACGGTAGCATCCATTCTGTCAACAGTATTAATAACGTACAAAAATTAAAAAGATCTGAATTGTGGAATTAGATATATATATNCACATAACGCCTCTTTGGTGGTTCATGTATGTGTCTTCAACATCAACACTTTTACTTTCAACTCTCCTGTACCCATTACCGGTTTATATTTCACTAACGATTTCACGTAAATTTCGCACCACGCGCTTAGAAACAAAGTAACTTCCCTATTTAGGCCACCTTCTTCAACCTCGAAGGCTGAGGGATGAGACCACCGATCTCGTCTCGACGGGCTCCGGTGGCCGACTATTTGTGTCTCCCCCAAAAAACTCCCAAGCCCTCGCTAGCAACTCCCAAAGTTAGCAACAAGAACCTCATCTCAGCGTTTTTGACCTTCCCAAGCATATGATCATCGGTAGGATGTAATATATTCATTTGTTTAGTCTAGCCCAAGTTGTACATTACCTACAGTCTGTCCTGGTTTTTTTCATGAACTTGTTCCAAGAGTATCTAGCTAACCAACACATCGACAGCTATGCTTTCATTTGAATGACCTAAATATCAAAATCATGTAATGATGTGCATAACCCTTGGCGGCAGGAGGCACATTACCTAGTCGTTTTTTAATAAAGTCTATGTTTCTGGGTGAGCGTCAATCCACTAACATCGCGGAGGGCGTTCCTCACCGCCTCCTCTCGGCGGGGAGGCGGTGAAATCACTTTGCTACTCTACCCTTGAGGTAGAGGTGAAATGTAGGCATGTAGATAGTTTATTTTAATGAAAAAGATGTTTGCTTTTGCTTTTTGCTTTCTACATGACCACAACGACGCTCAAAGGTCCGACAGTCATAAAGTACTTCAAACGCTTTTTTCATCTGGGAAAATATCGACACTCGGTTAGTGAAAATTACCCAATACGAACCGCCAATTCTTCAGTCCACGTCAAATAGTTGGCAGCGGCTGAATTTATTTGTAATGGTATTTTTTGGCCTTTGAGAGCGCCGACACCTTTGAGTATGCACAATACCGTTTACTTCGACTATACCCGCCTAGTCGAGCACAAGTGGAGTTGCCAATTGGAAGAGACCGAGAAGTCTGCAGTCGCTTGCACTGTCCGACGGGGAACATTAGATCCTGTTCGAAAATAACGAGAGTCTAGCAACATCGAATCATTATTCAAAAAGAATATATTTGGAAGTCATAGAAATACACAAACACAAGAGAACTTCAACAGAAAGGAAGAGAGAACATATCTACAATCTGGAACACAGCATTGAAAAGCGCCAAAACGAAGCCAAGTCACCCAAATCGCGCGGGAAGTACGCGCGAACCCACCATTACAGAAAGTGTACAAAAAATCAGCACTATAAATGACACGGCAAAAATGAGAGCTTCAGTTTCAGTTGACACGTCAAGAATAGTACTTCAACCACGCCACCGAAGATGACTGCCGCAGTTGCAGTCGAAACGTTTGGAGATTATAACCAAAGTAGACCACGGCAAAACCCGGAAACCAAAACACAAAAAGAGTACTGAAGAAGAAGAATAAGAGGAAACAAAGAGTTGAGAGTGACAATAAAACAAAACACAAAGAAAACAGAAAAACATAAACGTATACAACACGATGCAAAACCAGAAAAAAAGGGCCCATAACATAAGAAAAAGAAAGAGAAAGAGAGAGATCTATATTTTTATTTGAGAAATCACCTATTACGTTCCCCAACTTTCTTTGCTGGTTTATCGCAAATGTTCAACAGTAGGAACACTGAAAATGGAATATATTCGGTTATTTCAAAAGTTTTGTCTGTTTTCATGAGTCTATTTCAAACTGTAATACTTATATCGGTATAAGCGCACTTTTGCCAACGTAACACAACTC